TATTATTATTATTATTATTATTATTATTATTATTATTATTATTTCTGTTTCTCTTCGTTTCAGCTGCGGACCGTTACGGCAGTACCACCGCTGACTGTGTTATTGTTCGCCGGTCCAGTACGTTTGAAACGTGAAGTTCTAAAAGACTATGCCGTCGGTGAGTTCATCGTGTATTTCTGTTCATATTTGGAATAATTTGAACAGTTGTAATTCACAGTTTGTTTTTCCAACAATTAATTTGGCATTCTTCCCAGTTCTTTTGACGAATGCTAATTTGCCGGGATGCTAACGTTGATGATGTGCCTTAAAGGGATGACTAACTCAACAGTAATATTTACCAGGGCTTTGGCCATTTCGGGGTGTCCTGGGTGTCTGCCATTTGTAGCAACCAAGTTGACCTTGGAAGCCTAAATGGCGAAGGCGCGGTAGATTACAGCATTAGAGAACAGTATAAGAAAAGAAGAGTAAGATAAGATGTTTCAGTCCATTAAGTCATATACGCCTTAACACCGCGACAAGACCTCGTCAGTATGACGGCCGCAGTGTATGTTCCCATTCCTAGATGATGACGATAAGAAGCACCAAACGGATTACGAGAGTTTTGTACATATCCTTCCCGAATCAGTTCAAAATACATTTAAGCCAAATTTCTTGTTTGGCCTCTCAGTCTAATGTTTGACGTTAGTAAGCATTCTATGTGTGAAATTAAGCGATAAGACAGACAGCTTCGAGATTGAGAGAAAAATCAGTATTTTAGTTGTTAATAATTGTAGATTATTTCTCAGGGAAGGAGGAGGGGAGAGGTTGGGGGGAGGGGGGGTGAGGTGGCAGAATATAGAGAATATACAGGGAAGTGAAAAAAAAAAACGAAAATAAATCTGAAGATGAATGTTTTTGCCCCATCACGGCATACACATTCCTTTTCAGCACGATGTTTAGTAAAAGTTTTCGATAGTAAATAAAGTGGGGTGTGCATCTGAGGTTCAAAAGGTCTGATATTTTTGCGTCTTGAATCTAGATATGCCAGGCACCATTGAAATCCGTGCTGAGATAATTAAACTGATAGTAATGACATTTAAATATATCTAAATTCCAGTTAAATTCGTATCAGAAATAATAGCTATTTGTAAATTTCAGATGCTGAAATCACATCGGATGATGACAGCGATACTGACTCAGATTCGGAATCGGACACCGCATTCCAGGATTGTTTCTTTGCTCTAGAACCGTGGCTTGCCTTCCGATGCAAATTCCGGGTAGGTTGTCGAAAAAAATTCTTTTTAGTTTTTTGGATCGTCCACTTCTTTTAAGGTTACGATTCGGCCCTCTAGCGGCCGCAATTTATCATTCCATTAATTTTAAATTATTTCAGTTTTTCTCAAGCAATTTTGGTTGTTGTAGCTTTTCAAATTCGAGTATTATTTTGAGATAAACGACTGAGAGAACGAGGGAAGGAAGAGGAGGAGAAAAGTTTGAGGTTGAAAAAAGGAGAAAACCTTTAGTTCATTTTGCATCTGCAAAATTTTTTGAATTGTCGATATCGGCTTATTTTTGAATATATTTTGGGGTATTTCAGGACATTCAATTGATTTTAAAGTTACGCGTCAAACTGATGACATACTTTTTAACGATGATGAAACAGCCGAACTGCGTAGTGACGCAGGAAATTCGGGTAAATTTTTCTGAACTTTATTCCATCATTTTTTACTTATTTTGGTTCAACTAAAGCTTGAGAAACCTGAAACCACACTATCTGCTTATTCTTTACTTGATGTTTTTTTTTCCAGGAGCTACTGGCAACCATAAATTACGTCTTAGTGGCACATCATCGTGATGCCGGATTTGAGGACTGCAATGATTTACCTTGGTCGCGGTCGCATTCACCAACGTCGATGGTCATAGAGGTAACATGAAATTTCTTTTTTTTTTGCCGAAAGGTTTCACCTTTTTTATACTGCACTGAAATACTATTTATTTTGTAAGGAATATTTCTTTTTTGGAATGGTAAAAAGTTTCTGGTGGAAAAAAGGTATCTTCGGGAACCGAAATCGCTAGGATGCTGAGAATTGAGGATGATGTTTCTGCCTATGCGGAGGCACCACAAACTCAAGTTAAGCTTTCATTTATGCCTAAATTTCACGTACAGCCGTATGAAAATTATGGTGCGAAAGTCGTTAGCTCCTAAGTCAGGAAACTAGGAAGATGAAATTTTGGAAGAATATTCTTTATGTTCCCTGTCCGAAGAATGTTCCCCGTCCGAAGGATCTAAATTTCTAGTTCTTTAAAAATATCTAAATCACGGAGAGA